TATACAAGAGCAAAAATGTTATTGGATTTTCAAAATTTTTTATATAAGAGTGTTAATGAATGAATATTCATTAGGTTAGTGGAAAAGTCAGACAAGTTCATGGACATGAGGTGATACAATTCAATGCCTATCTAATAAACAAAAGTGAGTAGATTTGTTTTTGATATACATAATGTCTATGTAAATTATTTAAATTATTTTGGATAGGGATTGATTTATGTGCTATATATTTTGAATAACATGAGGTTATGGATTTAACCATTTTCTTTTAATGATTAGTATTTTTGTGGCCATGTATTTTGGCTTGGGATATTAGTAATTCTTTCTAGAATTGGGAAGAATCTGGGGTGCAGATTTATATTTTGATGAGATTCGGTAGTGGCACTTTGAGAATTTTCCTTCTAAATAACTTTCTTTTTTAATAAATGTAGTATTTATTAGGTCAAAGTTGTGGTTGAATTTATTTCTATGCATGACTAATGCATTTGATAAATTGTTTGTGTATAAGGTCTCTTTTATGTTCATAGATATGTTTTTTAAATTTCTGCAAGTTTCCCCAGTGCATTGTGAGGAACAGTTCTGGCAATTTATTTTATATATACCTGCTTCAGAATTATTATTGTTATGGGTATTTTCAGTTCTGATTCAGTCAGTCAGTTAAGTGCCATACATGATACAGACTTGAGCGATCATGTCTCTTTTGAGTTATGATTGACTAGACAGAAGATGTTCCTGCAGTAGGTTACCATTTCTTTGTGCAGTGGACTGGTTGCCAGATCAAGGGCTATAGAACCCAGTCTGTCCTATTTACCCATAGCTGGCAGGGGAGAAGAGTTTGATTCATGCCTTTCCCAAGGGTATTAGCATGTAAGTGAATGTAATGAACTCAACTGGAATTCAAACTTGGCTCTCCAATTTCTCAATCCAAGCAACAATCTATTACTCTACCATGCTTCCCAGTTTTGATTACATTCTCAATATTGAGAATTTATGAGGGTGTGCTGAAAGTTTCTTAGCCTGTCTCATTTCCCAAAATTTGACGAAATGTCAAAACGTCATAATTGTTTATTGGCTAAGACCTTTTCAGTACCCCCTCTCTTCATAGTTATTTTTATTGTGTAAATATACCATATCTAAAACTTAATTTTGAGAATTATCAATGAAAATGAAATAAAAGCAATGTTTATTTTTAAGGTTCATGAAAAAAAAAATGCTTATTTGGCTTTCTTTGTGTTCAACATAGTCTTTTAGTTACATCACAAGTCTAGAGGCACTACATACAGGGTGCAATGAATAAACTGTCGCCTAAATTATGCAAAAATGAAAATAACACTGACATCTCATTTTAACATATTTTTACCAAAATTACATGAAAATGTCTTGAAATACTAAAAGGTAAATTTATTCAATAAAATAACCATTGACTTCAACCACAGCTTCCAGACGACTTTGGAATCTCCTGCAACTCTTCTGGATGGTCTCTTTGTTTAAGTTGGTGAATGTTGCCATAATCCTTGCCTTCAGGTCATCTTTAGTGTTACAAGGAATTTTGTTGGTCTCTCACTCAGTTACACACTATACATAATAATCAAAGGGTTTGCAGTCTGCGGAGTTAGGTGGCCGACTGTAAGGGGTGATATCTGACAGCCATGACTGGGTTCTCCTGTTTGTGTGGCATGGTGCAGAATCCTGCAGCAGCCACTCTCTTGACTCGGAGCATAACTACCTCCTCAAGTCACTTGATGTAGGCCTTGTGGGAAGATGAATGGAAGCATAATGTCACCATCACTAGTGATCACTCCAAACACCTCATAATCACCATTAAACCCATCCAATTCTTTCCAAATCTTCTGTACTGTCCTCAGATTGACATCCGAATACTCTGAAATGTTTGTATTGGAGCTTCCAGCATGAATGCCATTTCCAAATTTCTGATTGGGTGAATTGCATCATAGAGCCCTTTTTCTCACAGACGGTACCCAACTGACCATACTTTGCAGTTGACAAAATCAAAAACAATGTGCATGCACAAAATGAAAAATATAAAATGGCGACAATTTATCCATCGCACCCTGTATATTGTAACCGTAGCAGCAATAAGTGTGTCTGAAGCTAGATAGCCTGACTGAGCCCACTCCATTTCAGTCTTTGTTTTTTTTTTTTTTTTTAATTCAAAATTTTCTTTCTGACTAGGTTGTCTTGTCTTGAGGTGGCAACCAGTTTAAACTGGTTGCAACTTGAAGACAAGACAACCCGGTCTTCCCTGTTATTTAACCTATAGTTGGAGGGATAAGAGATGGACTTGTACCTTTCCCAATGGTATTTGTACAAAAGTGAATGCAACAGGCTTGGTTAGAATTTGAAATTCATTCAATGATTTCCCATTGAGAGTTGCTTACCATTACACTACCCATGCATCCATAGAGGCAGTGATATCCTTTAGAGTAGGCAAATTCTAGTTAATTTGTTAATATTTGGCTGAAATAGCCTGTTTTCTATATTTTGTAACTGAACTGTATCACAATACTTGACAAAATTTTATTTATAGTAAAAGGATTTCAAGACAGTACTGAAATGTCCCTGGCCTAACTCACTTTCCAAAATTATTATTCTAGTGTTTGGTCATTTAAAAACATTGATTTTAGGAAGTGGCTTTGGCCAAGAACTTTTGAACTCTTATAAAATCACCTAAATAATATTCATTGTCAATTTTTTCTTTTGTCATTGGCAAATTATTTCTATTATGACATTTTGAGGTGTTTTTGCTAGTTTCAAAACCAAAGTAAATCTCCAGTAATCAATTATGTTAACAGATACTAAAAAAACTCAGTCTAATAGTTGGTAAGACTGAAACACAGTTTTTAGGTGAATGCAACAAATATCCTTTTGACTCTTTTCTCTGGCTAAATTTAAAGTGTAATACTTGCTCATTTCTCTCTCACTTTTACCCAATCTTAGCCTCTTTTTTTTTTCTTTTTTTTTTTTTTATAACAAAATGATTTGGCAACAGTATAAGTAACTAGACCTTTTTTTTTTTTTTTTTTTTTTTTTTTTTACATCTGTTTCTTGCAAATGCTTTATAAAAGAAACCTTTGCAATGTGTTCAAACTTGGAACATATTCAAAAAACACAAAATGCTTCTTACTCGGCAAATTCAAATATAATTTTCATTGTTTTCTAAGTTATAACTATCAAACTACATAACTTTATATATTATTACTTATTGATATTGTTTTGCTTCAAAAATTCATCTTTCTAATAGGAAAAAACATTAATTCTATTTTCCATTTTAGTTTTAACAAACTACAGAAATAATGATAAAATTACACTTAATTGCAGAAATCTTAAATTTATTCCTATTAAAAATATTTATGAAAATAAAGAAAATTTAAGAATGCTATACTTTCTTATTTCTAATTATTACTATTTCTGCATATTAATACTAACAGAGCTTTTATATTTCTTTTCTCTCCCATATATACATATACAAGAATTAATTTATAAAAAGAGGGCATGTTTTTGTTTTCATCTATTACATACTGTATTTGCACAAAATTAAAATACCAATTCCTTTTGCTTGCTGATAATGTATCAGAATTGCTTAATCAAATTTAAGTGTCATTTTTTTATGCATGTTTTTTTTTTTTTCATCTGAGTTACAATATATATTTTTTTATTACAAAACATGATATTCAGGTATTATTATGTACACTATTTATATTGTTCAGACTATCATCCTCACCTTTGTTGCCATATTTTTCACAATGTTTCAGCCTTCTTCAGGGGGTTGGAATGTCAAACTGAACCCTTTATTTTGCTCGTTGGGGTAGACTGTCCATGTCTAATGGATGTCTGTTATCAGTCATCTCCTGTTAATTCTCCTCTCCAAGTTTTCCACTGCTTTAAGCAGGTATTGAACTTGCACACTTTGGGTCCTGTCACTGGATCTAACTAACGCCTTTATCCACTGTGCCATGTGTTCTTGAGGACATCTGTGTATTATAAACTTAATGTCTTCAGCAACTATTTTTTACCAGTGCTCATATTGCAATTTTTGCTGTTATCATTGCATGTTTTTTACCAGAGCTTATATTGCAATTTTTATTATTATTGCTTTACTCTGGCACTCCTTATTACTAGTTCCCATATTGTATTCATTTCTATCCTTGGCTGGCTCAGGAGATTTTTGTGGCCTAGTATATGTGCTGATTCCTTAAGTTTACGAATTTTCCAATGTTCTTTGTCTATGATTTCAACCTGATTCCACAGAGGGCAGTGATTTTCCTTTTCTCTCCATATATGGTCAGCCATGCCTGATTTTTCCACTTCCCCTTGTGTTACCGTGTTTTGGTGTTCTTGAAGCCTTACCTTAAGGGGGCAGCCTGTTTCCCTCTTTACATTTCTTTCTGCAGCTGCACAGGATGGCATACACAAAGTCTTTAGTCATGTTCTCCTCTGCAATAACAGCAAAAATTGCAATATGGCACAGTGGATTAAGGTGTTAGATTGAGTGACAGGACACAAAGAGTGTGAGTTCAATACCTGGTTAATGCAGTGGAGAACTTGGAGAGAGGAATTAACAGGAGATAAATGATAACTGACATCCATTAGACATGGCATGTGGAACTAGAACAGTCTACCCCAGAAAGCCAAATAAAGGGTTCAGTTCGACATTCCAACCACCTGAAGCCAAATGTGATAAATATGGCAAGAAAGACAAGGATGATAGTCTGAACAAATAGAAAACATGACATTATATGTGGAAAACTTTGAACTTTTTTTTGTTTCTTAGTCATTTTTAATAAGTTTAATAAAGGCATAAAAACAAGTTGGTCATAAATTTGGTAATACTTTTGCTTAATTGTTGAATTTATTTGTTTTGCATGACATTTACTTTTTTATGATTAATGTTAATGATTAAATGCTTTTATTTTTTATAGGTGGTGTGTTCCTCCTCAGGTATTTTAATACTTTTCCTGTTATGACCTGCACTATTTGACATGAGTGCTAAGGTTACAGAGGCACCAACCGTTGACCTCTTGAACCGTCCTGAGATCCATCAAGTGGCTACATCAATAGCCATGGATAAGGGCCAGCCTCGGGCACCTGGACCTCCTAATTCTGTAGACGTAGAAGAACCATATCATCACCATGAGTTGGTAATCAATAACAAGGTAAAAGCACATTCTTCAAGATATTTTTTAGATTACCTTTATTTCCCTAATTTCTTGAAATAATTTTAATTAATATCTTTAAGGGGATAATTTAAATCTGTATAATTTAAATATATGTTGCACATGATAAATTATAGAATATTTTGCACAATACCTTTTGATGGTAGATCACCAATACAATGATTATCTAATGAAATTTGTAACTGCTAGTTGCCTAAGACTTTATTCTATATTTTTATTCAATATAACAATTGTAATATTAATTATTATTTGTAATGTTTGTGCATTTTGTTAAAAAGTGATAAATTATAAACTTCTTCCCCTAAATCCTTTGTAAAGAAATACTAATAAATATTTTTTCACTTGAAGTTGATTTGGATTTAACCTGATCAGTCATCTAAATCTGATTTAATTATATTTTACATAAATTTATTGAAGATTTATTTACAATAAACTGTCATTTTTAAACAAATGCTTTAAAAATTTGAGTTACTGTTATATTTTAAAATAAAAATGTCTTTTAGCTGATATTTTAGCCCAAATTCTAGTGACAGTTTTCTCTCTTCTCTATCCAGATCTCAAATAGAAATAAGATCGTAACATCTCTAATTGCTGGAGCTTTAGCAGGTGCTGTTGCCAAAACTGCTATTGCACCACTTGATAGAACAAAAATAAATTTTCAAAGTAAGTATTAATCTTTATGTATGCTTTTTTCATACTCTTCAAATAATATTGTATACAAAATGTCTGAAAATAGTATTTTTCACAACAACTTGTTAGGATATTTTTACAGTGAGGTCACCATAAATTTTGTTCCATATACATATAACAGTGGAGACATTATTATAATAACACTGCAACAATATAACAACACTGTTGGCAAATTACATTTATTTGTATTAATCACACACACTATATATATATATATATATATATAAAACTAATTAAAATTAAAAAACTGTAATCCCAGTTTGCAGTATGATATACAAGAGGTATAAAAAATACTTTTACAAATGTTGGGGATGAGTTCCTCCCGCTAAAACAAGGACAAAAATCCATATGAACATGACCGCCAATCCTTCATTTTTGAGTTAAGTTTAGAGAAAGTTTACAGTAGATGGCACTGTGTTACCATGTAGACTAGGTTACATTTGTTATTCATGCACATTTGTGGCTAATCTATCTTCAACATTTAACCTGTGTAGTAGTGAGTTAACTGAGAAGTCTTCCATTTAACAATGGCAGAATATTTATATCATGATCAGGCAGATATGATTTTATATACAGTTGCATGAAAGGTAATGGTCATGAGTCTGCATGGCTGTATAAGATTGCGTTTCCAGACAGAATGCAGCCAAATAATCCAACCTTTACTGCTGTTTATTGTTGCATTTCTGAGACAGAATCCGTGGCCTCACAAACTATAGATTGAGGAAAGACTGATCTGCTCATATGCCTGACCACAATGAACACATTCTACAGGCTGTCGGAAATGATCCTGGTATAAATACACATCAAGTGGCTCTAGCATGTTGTACATCTCATAGTACCACATGGAGGTTACTTCAAGAGCAGCTCCTGTATCTGTATCATTAGCAACATGTGCAGGGTCTTTCACCCTCTGATCACTCACCACAGAACTTTTACTGATGTTTCATTGTTTGTTTCTTCAGTTTTGTTTACAGATGAGGCAATATTTGGAAGAGATGGAATAACAAATTTACACAACTAACATTTGTGGGTGGATTGGAATCCTGATGGTACAATACAGGCTAGACACCAGCAACAGTTTACAATTAATGTGTGGGCTGGAATTATAGGTGACTGTCTGGTAGGTCCATATGTTCTCCCAACATGTCTTACAGGAGCTGTCTACAGGGATTTTATTTCGAACACAGTTTCAGACCTGCTAGAGGATGTACCCCAGCTAATACAGAGACACATGTAATTTGTGCATGATGGGGATCCAGCACATTTTAGTCACTCATGTTCATGATGCATTGGCTGAAATATACCCTGAAAGATGGATAGGTAGGGGAGGACAGGTTCCATAGCCTGCACGTTCTCCCAACCTCAATCCTTTGTTTGTCTTTATTTGTTAGACCACCTAAAACAATTGGTTTATATAGCAGATATTAATAATGCAGAGATGCTTCATCAATGTGTTATGGGGGTCTGCAAAACCATTGAACACCATGTGAGAGTATTTAAAAGGGTTCACCATCCAATGATCCAACGGGTGCATGTGTGTGTAGAAGCAAGCTGAGAACATTTTGTTATGTGCTGCTGTAATGAAGTACAACAATGGCCTTTTGTCCATATGTTTATATGGACATTTTATCTTGTTTTGGTGTTCGGAGCATGTCCCCAAAATTTGTAAAAGTATTTTTGGATTGTATATTGGATTGTACATTTAACATCATCTACAATAAACTTTAAACTTAAGTCAAAAATGAAAGATATGCAGACATATGTTTATATGGACTTTTCTCCTTGGTTTGGTGTGAGAACCCCCCACCACCACCACCAAAAAAAAACTTTGTAAAAGTATTTTTGAAATGCCCTGCATAACTGTGCCAACATTGTGATGACCAGATATTTTTATTAAAATCTAAATTACATAACAGTCAGTTTCTCTCTCTATCTATATATATATATATATATATATATATATATATATATATATATATATATATATATATACTTAATAAGCTCTGTTTTATTACATCAACACTATATGTGCAAAATATATAATTACTGAGTCTCCAGAAACATGCTACCGATATTCTTTTAGGAAATTGTCATAGTGGATGTTTTTATCAATTGTTATTAGTATCAGGTGGTTGTGAATTCAGTTCCTAGATCAGATAGTAAAATAATATACTCTTGTTCTACAGCAATGAACAAGAAATGGCACTGCAGAGATAAAATAACATAATTATCAGCATATATAAGATATCCTACATCATCCAAATTAATAAACACCTGAAGATGGTCAAAGGGTTCTTGGCTGAAACAGCCTGTCTATAATAACATCTATAATAATCAAATAATATATATTAGTGCAAATGAGTCAAATTAAAATGACAAGAAATCTCTCTAAAAGTTAAAAAAAAAAAAAAAAAAAATTATCAAATAAGAAAAAATCCTTTTGTATTTATTGAACGATTTTTTCTTTTATGTCTTTTTCATTGCTTCTTTACTTGGTTGGATCATAGCAAGCAACACTCCGTTCTCATCTCGAGAAGCATTACGCTTTCTTTACCGCTGCTTCAAACATGAAGGTTTCCTGAGTCTTTGGCGAGGTAATACAGCAACTATGGCCCGAATTATACCCTATGCATCCATGCAGTATGCTGCACATGAACAGTACAAACAGTTGCTCAACCATGATAAAAGGAAAGTGTAAGTGATACTTGTTTTATTTGTTAATGTAAACTAAATTTATCCTGAACATTCAAACTCTTTGCTCCATCCTGGGTATGATGATAAACTACATCTGGCAGCAAGGCTTTGAGGAGCATAGAACTACCTCTTAATTGCTGTTGTTCCCAGGTCCACTCTGACCTGGGGTGGTAGCACCCATTAGATTTCCAGATATGGGCAAATAGTTTATTCCCAATCTGGGATCAAAACACTACTAAAGGGTAGAAATACATTGTTGTAGTGACGGTGTCAGAAATAACATTTTCCTGATTAAAATGTTACCAGCAATGCATTTTAAAAAATAAAAATTGTCAACAATACATTTTCATAAAAGAAATTACTAATACTCCCAAGGAGTAAAATTAAACTGCAATCTGTGTTTTTCACAAAACAGTTTCACACATGTCTTTGTAGGACATTAAAATACTACCAGATGTAGTAGAGTAAACAAGATGGATTAGAATCTAATTGTTCATATGTGGAAAGTTCACCTGCATGCTGTCAGCTTATATGATAAACCTACAACCTATCCGTTTATAGCTAGGATGGTGCCTTCAGGAAAATAATATAGTTTCTCCATATAAACAATCTATTGAAATTAAAAAGAGACATGTTTAAACAACTAATAAAAAATCATAATCCACAAACTGTTTACACAAAGCACTATGCCTAAACTACCTGTCCATACAAAATGCCTCTAAAATTGCTACATATAAAATGCACATTCACAAAAACCGATTCCCCAAAACTACAAATTCCCCTCAATAGGATCACTTGTTTGATGTGGGTGGTGACCCATGATGCCCTGGTAACCAAGTGATTCTTGATTTGGTATAAAATGACCAGGAGTTTCCACAACACTTCACTTTCGGTCACGTCCTGGAATAGATGGGTGGATGGAATAGCCCAATCCAATCCAATTCATTCGTCTAGTCACATAGTGGCAAGAGCTAGTTGGGATGAAAGTTAATGGCTGTGACACAGCTGTGAATCCTTACACCATACTATATTTGGGTAGATATGGTGGGGGAATGTAGGTGTTCATATCCACTTTCAGCACGACTATACTGTGTAGCCCTGGCAGATCAGGGCGAATGGGATTAGTACCCCCGATACTGTCTGTTAAGAAGGAACTCTGAAGTAGGTAGGAAGCATAGACAGTGAATACAAAATTGTAATGGCTAACTCTTATAAACGAACCAAGAGACAATATGAAAACTGAATATGAAAGTGACAATGAAACATCAGGAAAAAAACAATTTTCATAGTCATAGAATCATTAGATGGTGAAATAACAAGTGTCATCTTTTGTGCTGAAAATGCTATATCAGCCATGATAGAATAAAATCTGTTTAAAAAAAAAAAAAAAAACACTTCTAATTCAAGTAATGTCAGAAATTTGGTCATCTACAAAATCATTGTATGAGAGTATCAGATATGGGGAATTCGAGTCTGATCATGAAGAGTCACCCTGTGAAAGGCCTTCTTTATTCTCAAACTGCAAGGAAAACACTCAGCAGATTCTAAAGAGTGTAACATCTGGAAAAAAGAAAAGGAAATAATAAGAAATACATGCAAAACATTTCATTCTAAGACAAAAAACAGGTTGAAACTAATTTACTTCCAACATACTTGCAAATATTGCTAAAATATCAAAACACCAAAATGACATCCAAGAGAACAATGCAATAAGAAACCAAGACCTTACAACTCTAATAAACGATTTAAAAAGTTTAATAGAACTACTGAAATTTAGTATATCATTCATAAACTAAACTCCCATAGTCAAAATAAATCCTATCCAGTCAACCTCAAACAAAAAAGAATCTATAAGTACAAAACAAATCTCTGAAAGCCCCAATCCAAAGTACAAAAATCTTTCAAGAAATAGAACCCTCCAAACATTCACAAGATAATCAAAAAGTTCATAAAAGAAATAACACAACTCAGTACATCATTGAAGAACCAAGAGAAATGGACATATATGAAGAAAACTCTATCCCATCCCAAACAAGGGAACAGTTGTCATCCAGACAAAGATCGTCAAAAGAACCTAATGGAAAAACAAAGGAAACAAGATCAAACAAATAAGCAGAAACAAAAGACCTTCAAAGAACAAAACATGACAAGAAACAAAATGCTAACAGACCTGAGAGCATAGAAATTAACTACACTTCACTCATTAAACATAAACCGGACAAGCAAAAACTTATAACATCCTAATAAATAAATATGATGTAAAAAATTATAAAGTTGAATTATCGAGGCCTAAATGCAAACATAAATGAACTACTCCTACTGATAACTTTCTGCCATCATTTGCCTTCAGGAAATTTTCCTAAAACCTAATGATAAAATAAAAATAAGAAACTATACTCAATATAACTACATACATGACACTCAACAGAAGGCATCTGGAGGTGTATCAATCCTAATCAGAAATGATATCACCCCCCCAAAGTAAAATACTTCTAGAAACCAATCTACAAGCAGTTACTACAAAAACTTCCCTACATAGAACCGTTAACATCTGCTCTATTTACATCCCACCGCACGATCCCATAAAAGAAACTGATCTAAATAAACTATTAGAACTACCGAAACCATTCATATTATTAGGGGACTTTAACAGTCACAATGTTATATGGGGATTCAAAAAAAACCTGGAAAATGTAATTAACAGCAATGACTTATGTTTACTAAATAATATGTCTAATACATATCTACATGCTGCATCAGGTACATAATCAGCTATTGACCTCTCACTGTGTGAACTCTCTATTTTTATGGATTACAGTTGGCAAGTTCTCAATGATTTATGTGTCAATGATCACTATCCAATTATACTGAAGAGTTCAGAACCAATTGAAAACCATCTCCCTTGATGGAAACTAAACAAAGCAGATTGGAGGGAATATAAAAACCAGTGCTGTCAAAAACTTACTGACAAAGATGCAAAAAAAAAAATCTATTGAATATTTCTCTGAAACATTAATAGCAATTGCGAGAAAATGTATACCAAAAAACAGTGAATCAAATAAACATCAAAGACCATGATTCAACAAAGATTGCAAAAAAGCAATAAAATTACATAGAGCAGAACTACTGAAATTTAATACTCATCCTAAAACCCATAATTTAAATATATTCAAAGAAAAAAGAGCAATAGCGCATAGAGCCATCAAAGAAACTAAAAGAAAATCATGGAGAGATTACATAAATAAAATAAATCCCAATACGAAACCAAAAAGAGTTTGGAATATGATAAGGAAAATCACTGGCAGAAATCTATTACCTCATCTAAATCACCTTTCCCAAAATAACCTTAAAATTACAAGCAAAAAGGATATAGAAAATCTACTTATTGAAACATTTTAAAAAAAAATTCCTCCAATGAAAACTGCAAACAGCAATTCCAAAAAGTTAGGCATGATGCACAAAAAAAAAAATAAACTGAACTTTAACTCAAACAACAAAAAAGATTATAACCATCCTTTTACTCTAAATGAACTAACAGATACCATAAGCAAATCACATAGTACAACTACTGGCCCAAATGAAATTCATTATGAATTTCTTAAACAACTCCCTACAAAATCTTTAAAATATATATTAAACATCTTTTAAGATGTGGTTTAAGGGAAAAATAATGAACAGCTGAAAACAAGTTACCATAATCCCTATACCAAAACCAGATAAAGACAAATCAGACCCAAAAAACTTCCAATCCATAACAAATTGCATATACAAAACCTTAGAAAGAATAATAAATAAAAGATTGAACTGGTACCTCAAAACTAATGGTTTAATTACCAATCTCCAAAGTGGATTTCAAAATAATAGGCATCATAGACAACATAGTCCACCTAGAAACTTTCATTAGAGAGGCCTTTATTAAAAAAGAACACTCAAAAGGCCTATGAGACATGAAGACATGGAGTAATGAAAGACCTATACAATCTGGGATTAAAGGGGCAAATCACCCAATTTGATAACTTTTTCTCAGAAGTTTCAAAGTTAGGTAGGATCAACAGTTTCAGACTCAAAACTCCAAGAAGAGGTTCCACAAGGTTGCATCCTGTCCATCACTCTTTTTTAATATTAAAATTAACATTGTTAATTGCTTGAATCAAGGAGTTGATGGCTCATTATACGCAGACAACTTTTTGATCTGCTGCAGATCAAAAATTATGCACACTGCAGAATGGCAACTGCAAGTGTGCCTCAATAAATTAAACTGATGGACTATCAAAAACAGTTTCAAATTCTCCCTAACCAAAACAAGGTGTATTCATTTCGACAACCTGAAAAAAATGCACAATGATCCAATTCTTAAACTTGAAGGAACAGAAATTGAAATGACAGACCAACATAAATTTCTGGGAATCTTTTTTGATAAAAAAAATAAACTTACTTTCAACTCCCACATAAAATACAGAAAACAGAAATACTTCAAAGCATTACAATTACTACAGGACAGGTTATGGCTAACACCGACTGGAGAGCAGATTGCATATCACTCCAAAATTATATAGAACTCTAATAAGAACTAATTGGACTGTTCATTTTCTTTGATATCAGCAGAACAATATCAAGCCAAATTGATATGAGATGCCTTCATAAATGGGCTATGGTCCACAGATATCTGACAAAGAATGTTTGAAAATACACCTTAACATGACAACAGGCCTATGACCAGGCAAAAGTACTAGATTTATCAGAACAAAATTATGATACAGTTTCAGTAACATCAAAGACCTCTCTACTATTTTAAGGAGTAGCCATAAGTAGAACAATCCCATATAACCCTCAAGGTAATGGCCAGTGTGAGAGGTATAATGGAATAATTTGGAAAACTGTTCAACTAGCAGATAAGGGGATAGTTTTTGAGAATTGGGAAAAACCTCTCCCAGAGGCCCTGCATGCAGTTAGAATGCTGCTATGCACCTCCACTAACGCAACCCCTCATGAACAATTCCTTCCGTTTCCTAGAAGTTTGACTGAAGCATCCCTATCATTTTGTCTCTATAAAACTGAGCATGATATTACTAAAAAGACACACACAACTAAATAAGAATGAACCACTGGTGGATCAAGTTGAGCTTTTAGACGCCAACCTCTAGTATGTGTGTGTCTGTTACCCTGATAGTCTCACTAAAGGACTTAGCTCCATCAGGAGATGATCCAGAACCCACAAGGCTAAGCGAGGGCTGTCCTCAGGACACTTATGAAGAAACAGTAACATGGTCTCCTTTTGAAGATTAAAAAGAACCTTTAAGCTTTGGTCCCTCAAGTTTCACAGAAGAGAGCCCACCCACCTACTGATACTTCAGAGTATGAACAAGCCACTTGCAGAATATTATGAAAATGCAGCTGGATTAAGTCCAGTTCTAGTGAGAAAGAGGAAGAACCTCATGCTCCTGGCAATCTGCCACAATCTCACAGACAGCAAAGGATGCCTGATCGATTCAGGGACTTCATCCCTTTGTAAGAATAAGGTAGAGGAGAATGTGGTATGATCCATTTCCCCCCCTTAATGGATCTGTTCTGAACACAAAAATTTTGGAGAACTCTTCTGATATGCAGAGTCTATTAAAGCTTACTGATAAGCAATACATATTGTCTTGAACAATTCTACTACTGACAGCACTTATTTGCACTTTGATTTCTTGACACAAAAAGTATTATAAAGGAATTAGTATGGGAAATTCTTCGTCATATAGCATATTCCCCAGGCTTAGCACTATCAGATTATTATTTATTTTTATCAATGTAGCATTTCTTATCTGGTCAAAAATTGAAAGATGCCTTCAATGTTCAAAATTTCTTTTACAACTTTACCGCATTAAATCTACAGTTGTTTTTTTTTTTTTTTTTTTCAGGATTAAACATTTCTGGAACATTAGCATAAGGTCGTAAAAAATCAAGGAAGATTTTGATTAATAATTATATGTACTAGTTGCTACTATATCTGTCTATATTTCTAAGATGAGGTATTGTAATAATCTACATTGTTCGAACTGTTGTCCTCATCTTTATTGTCATGTTCACATCATTTTGACTGTTGAGACATCCAGAAGAGGCATAGCATATGGAACGTGAACAATCAACCCCAATGGACAAAATAAAGGTTTCAGTTCAAAATTCCAATCACCTGAAGAAGGCCAGAGCATACAACAGCCAAAACATCAAGAATATGACAATAAAGATGAGGACAACAGTCTGAATAATGTAAATTACTTGCTACTAATTAGATATTTTTTATAAGAAATACTAAACTTTTGTATAAATTTAATAAGTTAACACATTATACTCCTTTTGCATAATTAATATATTTAAGTAATCCCTCAACTATGGTATGATAAAAGTTAAATAGAAGAAAGTATAATTAATGTATTAGTTATAAATAATCTTTAGTAAATAATTCTTAAATTGTTATTAACTTTCAGTTTGTATTGAAATGGATGCGAGTTCTTTTAATTTAGAATATTGGCAAAATATTTGTCTTTAGTTTAATCCTGGAAATAGCAAAGTTCTTGGCAAGATTTTATTATCAACATTGCTGTCATTTTATACATTTATTTTAAAGCTTATAATTGATAAATAATATAAAGGAGCTACTTTTGGCATAAACACATACACACACATACTATATTGTCTTCATTATTATTAATTTATACAACAGTTTATTAGTGAATTTAATACATTGATAAAGTTTGCACCTTAGTTTGGTTTGTTTTACAGCATATCAACTTCAATGGGTTATTTAATGATGACAATTTGTATTGCTGGTAATTTATTTTATTTATTTATTTTTTTTTTTAAATGTATTGCTGGTAATAATTTTTTACAAAGTATTTCTCGTATTAAAACCTATTTTTACACTTTCATAGTGTTTTGGCCCCAGTTTGTGGGTTAACTATTTACCCATAGCTGGGATTCTAACAGCGCTACCACCCCAGGTCAAGGTGCAAGGTGGACCTGAGAACACCAGCAATTAAGAGGTGGTTTCAGACTCCTCAAAACCTCCTAATCAAAGGCCTTGCTGTTGGATGTAGTTTATCATCTTACTCAGGACGCAGATGTAGTTTATTGTCATACCCAGGACTGGTTTGCACCTTAAACATCTGTCTATATTTCTGAGATGAGGTGTTGTAATAATTTATATTATTTACATTTTTCAGACTATTGTCCTCATTTTTGTCATATTCACAGCATTTTGGCGATTGTACACTCCAGCCTTCTTCAGGTGACATAAAGGAGATAAGACTGCAGGAACACTGTAAAGTTGTAACATCAGGGGAAAAAGAATGGCTGACTTTATATGGAGGGAAAAGTTGGGATGAAGTTGAAATAATAGACAGTGAACATCACTGGAAAATACAAAAACTTAAGGAATCCGCACATATGCTACATCAGAAAAATCTCCTAGGCTGGCCAACATTGACATGAATACAATATGGGAAACAGTAATACAGAGAGCTAGAGAAAAACAACAATAACAAAAATTGTAATATGAGCTCTGATTAAAAAAAAAAATAAATAGTTACTGAAAGGTTTATAAGTCCCTAAAATTCATTCACTGATGTCTCCAAGGATAGATGACCCAGTGGATAAAAGTGTTGGTTGAAGTCTTGACCCAAAGAGTTGTGAGTTCTGGCCACAGCAGAGGTGAGCAAAATCTTGTGAGAGTTTAGTTACTAAAGGTGATTAACTGAAACCGAGATATCTACCCTGTGGGCTAAATTAAAGGTTCGGTTTGAAATTCCGACATATATCACCTGAAGAAGCCCGAAGCATATAATGACAGAAACATTGTGAATATGACAAAGATGAGGACAACAGTTCAAACAATGTGGTGTAGTTTGCACCTTAAATATAAAATTGCAGTTACTGCCCTTTAATTTATTTGCTAACTTACTTTCAATGTTAGTTTTACATTTTCCTTTCTACCAAAGAGAAATGTTTTGTATTCATAAAATTACCTTTCATATGTCACTTTATGAATGCATATGAAAAGGAATCCCATTGTAATAAAAATTGTTTAGTTGTTTCACTGTCCTGTATCAAAAGAAAAATAAAAACCTGACTTGAAATTAATGTTGACCTACAAATAAGCAATACACAGGTTTGTAACTTTTTGTATCTTTTTGAAATAGTTCAATAATTATTTTAAATAGGATTTTTTTTTTTTTTTTTTTTTTTTCCAAAATAAGAAATTCATTATTTTTATTTCTTGATGAAAAATTTCTAACATTTAACATATCCATTCTGGGTGCCTTTTTATACTCGTGTCATATTTCAAATGAAAACTTTCAAGCTTTTTTTTTATGCAGCTTTTGTGTTTAATCAGTTGATCAATACTTGAAAGTTCTTTAGAATTTATTAAATTTATTTACATGTAAAAACAATTTCGTGTGAGAAATATTATTATTATTTTCCAGACATTTAACCCCGGGTAATCGTTTTCTGGCCGGAGCTCTAGCTGGTGTAACTGCAGTAGCATTCACTTACCCGCTAGATATGGTCAGAGCACGAATGGCTGTGACAGCCAAAGAAAGGTTAGTCTCGTTTATACATGATTTTAATTTTAAATTATTATGAAAAATATGATGATAATGATGCATATGAAATATAAGAGTTTAAGCATTCATGAAACAAGTTAATTACACGGTTTGATTAGCCTTAAACGTGTCCTGAATTTTGTTCTCAAGTTTATTAGTGTAAAATGGATGATCAGATTTATTTATGTTAAATTCTATAAGTTTTTTTTTTGTTACAGTTTTGCTCCAGCTTCAAAGACAAGTAACTTTTGATTATTCTAGAAGTGCCATTATTTATAGCATTTACCATCCTTAAGAACTTAGGGCTTGAAAAGTCCTTTCACTTTTCTTCAAGAAGACATTGTTTATTATTTATTTATTTTCTACTAAATCTTGTTTAAATATTAAAACATTGGCAAATATTCCACTGAGTACATTAGATGAGCTTTTATTCACAAAGCTATGAAAATTGACAACTGTTGGGTTTTTCTATGTGGTTTTCTGTACACAAGTTCGGGGTTTTGAATCCTAAAGCTGTTCATCTCATAAGAACAAATAATTTGACAGAACTATTCTATTCTGTCTCTTTTCAGCAAATAAAAATGGTTTTGACATTGAAAAAAATCTTCCATGATTATAATAAAACTAAATTGCATTTACTCTTGTTTTTCCTGTTGTGATGACAGAATTGTTTTGTTTTTAAGATGCAAATTCTCAGAGACTGTTTCTGTTTTAATAACTGTGCTTGTATATTATTTTATTCTGGTATTTTTTAAATAATTATTGTCTTCATTTTTTTAGTTTTTGACATGTTTCAATCACTATATTCTTTTACCTCCCTAAAATGTTTGTTACATCTGGTTATTCTTAGAATTTGCTAAATTTTTTTTCTTCATCTTCTTAAATAGAGCATGACTGTCACAGTACTTAATGTTAAGGGTTTACATTAACAGTGTTAAGAAGAATACGATTGTAACTGTCATGTTTCACTTGTTCACTCACAGAGAAAGCACAGTGATAATCCAAATAGGTTAATTAACTGTCTCTCCAATAGTGTATGACAGGCAAGGACAAAGGCAAAAAGTTAAACTGCTACACATGCATTGCTTATATAGTAGTGCGATTAGAACATTCTAGAGAATTCTGCATCTTTCCATTTTCTATTGGACAGATTCATATGCCAGCAATTTGCATTGGACAAATCAAAATGCTAGTGATCTCTACAACAGTAACAGATTAGTCTTATAAATAAATTGACATTTTTATTCTCTATTGTTTGGATCATTAATGAGCTTGCAGTGCTATGGCTCAAGTTTGTTTTTTGTTTTTTTTTGTTTCCAAATTATCCAGCATTGAACTCTGATATAAGGAAACTTTCACTGCTGAAATGACATTATTTAAGCATTTGTTTCTATATAATGTCAAAATCTACTTAAAGTTTACTTAAGTACTTATACAGTCTTTTGTTGGTGGTAGTGTTTTTATGTTTTTGTTCTGTTTTTTTTTTGTGCACGATAATATATAGGTTCCTTCATGTGACATAAATTTTCATGTTTTACATTATTCAAGTGAGGGTAGTATGCTTCCTTACATATGCTTTTAAACTTGATTTCTAATGATCTCTACAACCATACTGAATATTTATATACACAGCTTTAGCTGACATTTTTCCCTTATTGAGAAATGACTTTTTGAGGAGGTTACACAGTGTAATTTTACTCTGCAAAGTTGCTTTGCGCAGACTGCAGATTTTTATTTTAGTGACCTTTCTTTTATAGGATGCAGACATTGCATTTGCATTTTTTTTTTAGTTATTTTTTTTTTTCAAGATTCCAAATTTGTGTATTGTTGGATACTACAGATGATCAAACTTTAAAATTTTAATTCAATTTTTGCAAATGTTATTACTCAGAAAGACAAGCTACTAACATTTAGTGAATTCTAAGTAGCACTGAAAAACTTTGAAGAAACTGAAAAGATAATTCAGAAGAATAACAGTGAAAATACCGTAATGACTTACCAAATTCCAAGACCAAAGCCACAAACTAATGTTCCTACCTGTTTTAATTGTGATAAAATTGGACATAAAAGCCCTAAATGCCAAAGTAAATTTCGGAATTACCCAGTAAATAATTTCCCCTCAAAACATAATTCCAATCAACCAAACAAAAATATTATCTGCCACAGTTGTTGCAAACCTAGACATAAAAGTACCAATTGCAGAAACAAAAAGCAAAACACATTTCATAAAAAATGTAGAACACGATTCAGATAATGAACATTCATTTCTGTTTTTCAGTTGGACTGGATACCGTTCCCAACAAAAACTGTTTACTTGTCAACTGTGGTTCTACCACACATGTGATTACTAACGAATCTAAATTTTTTAATTTCAATAATAATTTTAATCTAGAAAATCATCACATTGAACTGGCAGATATTAGTCAAACCAGTAATATTTCTTTAAAAAGAGGCAATGCTCAAATCACTATAACTGATGCAGTAGGAAATATGTGAGATTGCATTTTAACAAATTTTCTATACATTCCTACATTCAAACAAAATATATTCTTGGTACAAGCCATTACTGAAAAAGGGACTTCTGTAAAAATTTGGCCATAACTCAGAACTACCCTAATGGTATGAAATTCAACATAAAAAGAAATAATCGCCCATACTATTTAGATACTGCAGTAACATCCAAAACTGCTTTGCATAGCCTAAAACAACAGCATAAAATTCTTGGACATTGCAATCTGAAAGACATTATACAGCTAGAAGAAGCTGTAGAAGGTTTGAAAATTGTCGATAAATCAGATTTAAACTGAAATATGTGTCCAAGGCAAAATGGTACAGTATAAAAACAAGTTACCTGACAAAAGGGCAACTAAAATATTAGACCTTGTTCATTGTGATCTAGCTGGCCCAACTGAACTGAGATATTTGAATGGCTACAAATACACACTTTGTTTTGTGGATGATTATTCTGGTTTAATTATGACTTACTTTCTAAAATTAAAAAGCAATAAATTTTTCACCACAAAGCAATATTTGGCTGACATTGCTCCATATGGCTCTATAAAATGCCTAAGATGTGATAATGACACAGAATTCACTTCTGAAAACTTTCAAAATCTTTTAATTAATAATCAAATTAAACATCCACTGCACACCAAAAACGATCTTGGCAATCTCTATTTCAAATGGTAGATGTCTATTAATAGAATCCAAGTTACCAAAGTTTTTGTGGTCATATGCTATTATGACTAATGCATATATTAGAAATCAGTGTTACAGTCAAAGAACTTAAAAAAACAGCCTTTGAAATGTTCATGGGTCACAAACCTAACCTCACCAATATGCATACTTTTGGTACAATTTGTTATGCCTACATACAAGATGGAAAGAAATTGGACACTAAAGGTGAAAAAGCAATTTTCATAGGCCACAATAAATCAAGTCTTGTCTATTTAACATAGATACTTGAGACTAAGAACATCAAAAGAATCAGATGTGTAAAATTTACTGAAAATTTTGAAAATCCTACATCTTACTAGTCTTTACTTCTGGTTGAAGAAAATGATGCAATACTCCCCAAAAATCTGTCGAAAAATACTTGTGGGGAAGGGACACAAGAAAACAAAACTACACAATCAACAAGCCTAAGTGATAATACAGGAGATAATCCTAGTGTAGAAATACCAGACAGATGATATACAAGCAGGTTATGAAAAATGCCTGAATATTTAAAAGATTACGTTGTTAAGAATTTAGACCAACATAGCAAATCCGACTATAGATTATTGCTGTTCAGTAAAGAATATACCCACTAATTATAACTATAAAATGGCAAGATGCCATGGAAAAAGAGATAGCTGCCCTAAAAGTGAATAATACATATGAATTGACAGAGCTTCCACTTGGTAACACTTGTAGACAGTTGATGGGTCTACACTATTAAAACTAATAACACTAGTAATGAATAGTTCAAAGTGAAATGCATTGCAAAAGGCTACTCGCAAAAATCTGGAATAGATTATCACAAAACTTTCTTCCCCACAGCTTGTTCATCATTGATCAGAGAACTTTAATGCAATTAGCTATTCAACATAATTTATTTGTCCACCAAATGGATGTAAAAATGACATACTTAAATGTGCCTATTGGTTGCAAATTAGATGTTCAACAACTCCAAGGGTATTCCATTATCAGCAAAAATAATGACAAACTTGTATGGCAATTTAAAAAAAAAAAAAAAAAAAAATCCTTATATGGACTTAAACAAAGCAGACGAAATTGGAATCAAGTCTTACACACATATTTAATTGGTCAAGGTTTCTCTCAATCCTTGACAGACTCTTGTATTTACACAAAGAACACTTCAAATACAATACTGATTATGATTGTTTTGGTTGAGGATATACTCATTGTTGCAAGTTGCTATTCTACGTTAATTAATGTAAAAATACATTTAAATGAGAAATTCAAAATGACTGATCTTGGAAAGCTTTCTTTATGGGTATACAATTTATGTTTAAAAATAACTCCATTGAAATGAATCAAACAAAATATATTGAAAAGATTCTAACTAGATTTGGAATGCAAGATTGTAAACCTCAATCAATGCCTTGTGAATGGATATCAATCTAATGGATGAAAGCAATGCTGAACCATCAGACAGAAAATATTATAGAGAGATAGTTGGCAGCCTGATATATGCATGACTGCCACTAGTCCAGATAAAAGTTACATGGCAACAAAATTGTTGCAATATTCTGCAAATTCAATTATGAATCACTTGATAAGAGCCAAATAAGTGTTGTGTTGCACTATTTGAAAGGCACAAAAACACACTGTTTAATGTTTAATAAACCAAATAAATCCCTAACATTAAGAGGTTTTTGTGATGCTGATTGGAGAAGTTTAAAAGATTACCGTTGCAGTACAGGATATGGTTTCCAATTATCACCAAACAGTTCAATAACTTTGTGGAAAACAAAGTAACCTACAGTTCATTGTCAACATGCAAAGCTGAATACATGGTGTTGGCTGCTGCAATACAAAAAGCAAAATTCCTTATTCAATTATTAGCAACCATAATTATTGCAACTAAAAAAGAACAAGCCACAATCTATTGTAATAATCAAGCTATCATTGCTTTGGCTAATAATGCAGTCTATTTAAAATACGTAGACATAAAGTACCACTTCATAAGGACTGAAATTCAAAATGGTGCAATAAAATTGGACTATATTCTAACAGAAGAAAATGTTGTTGATTTGTTTACTAAACCAATTGGCAGAACAAAAATAAATTCTTTACTGCTCTAAATGGTGTGCTATACGGAACAATTTTCTTTTTTTTTCTTTTTTTTTGCATTTTAATTGCCACATTTTTTTATTACCCCACCTTTTATGTATGTGAATAAAGTGAAAAAATAATTATAAAAAAAGAGATTTAAAATATTTTAAAATAAAAATATAAAATATTTGAAATATTAAAAGAGGAAAATAAATATTAAAACTTTTGCAATATTAAAAAAATAAGTTTCTGCTATGCATGAAAATTATATGTAAATTATGTGTGTGTGTTTGCATGTATCTTGTTTGTATTGGCCCAATAGAAAGGGAGGATTTAGGGGAGGTAAATATGAGTGCACTCATCCATTAGATTGAATTGGGGGTGTTGATTTCACACTCTGGAAATGACTGCAAAACATTTTTTATTTTATAGACAGAAGTCCACAAATGCATGCCAGGATAATTTTCTTAGCCAATAAAATAGGCTACTCCCTCCACAGTATTTATTTTCAATTTTTCTACTTGGATTCTTCACTTATATTGCATATGATCCATTTGTTATATCATGTATTTGTTCTTGCAAGTATGCAGTATAGCCAAGGAAAGATAACTACCTCCTAAGTATAGAAACCTTTCCCACTTATATACAATCTAATTTGCATATGACCACACCATAATAGATTACAATAAAATTTGTATCTTATATGAATACTACCTTATGAAAATTGAGATGTAGTAGAGTAGAGGGCCCTGTATCATAGAGTTGAGTAGGAGCACAAAACCCTTGCACAGGCAGTTAAGGCTTAGGTTAATAAATACGAACAGCTTGAGATTTTTTTTTTTTTTTTTTTTTTTAACAATTAAAACAATAGATTTAGTCAGGTGTAAGATTTTTAACCTACTGTTTTTGTATCCTCAAACAATCCAAAAACAAAAGCAGTAGTTAGAGTAGATAAATACAAATTAAATGAATAAAAGTTAGAATAAAAATAAAGTTCTCAACAAGTGTAAAATTCCACCTAAGGTTGTGTTATACATAAATATTCAATGTAGTTGGAACAAAATCTCTAAAATCTCTTCAGTGAAATCATAGATGCATGCATTTTCAATTAAACAAAGGAAAAATCCTAATTTATTCATATTACAAATACTCTAAGTTTACAAGTAAACTAAAAAAAAATTTATCAAAATGATCATTTTTTTTTTTTTTTTTCATTTTTTTTTTTTTTTATTTCTTTCAAATTTCTTTCCATTTATTTAAAAATGTCTGGTGTTGGAAATATGTTGTCTTTGTAATGATTATTATGTGTATCATTTTTTTTTTTTTTATGTTTCAAAGAATTTGTTAAATGAATGGGAAAAGAATCTTTTAAAATCTTTACAAATATGTCTAACTTATATTCCAGGTATCATAATTTACCAGAAGTAGTTATGAAAATATACAGAGAGGAAGGTATAAGAACATTATACAGGGGTTTTACTCCAACTATTCTAGGAAGTATTCCTTATTCAGGGACAAGCTTTTTTACATACGAGTCACTCAAGAAACTACATGTTGGTAAGTTGGAACATTTTATTGCAGATTAAATTTTTTAATATAAGTTTTTTTCCAATTAAATACCTAAACTTTATTAAATATTCTCATTAATTTTGACTATTTTCATCATTTTTAGTTTCTTTTTTCACAACTTTATTCAGACCATCAACCTACAGCAGTGACTAGAAGCACTGTTAACAATCAGAAATAAAGACTAGGCTTAATAAGCAAATACCAGTCAAAATTATTAATAGTTAACAATGTTTCATCTAATAAAAAAAAAAGATTATTTTAGTAAACATTATCATCAACAGTTGATCAATTAGTGTTAGACATAATTTATCTTGTCTCTTTATAATTAAATAGTTTTATAATGTCTTGTTTCTTTTTCAGGATTATATATTTCCTATAATCCAAGACAAGCTTTTTATATCCAAAGTTACTATATTAATATACACAATATAATAAATATCCATGGAGATTGATAATAAAATTTCAGAACAAAATTATTGTAAATAGTTCTTAGAAAATCTTTTCTCTTGAAATGTTTTCCAAATATCTTAGAGCTCTGAAAAATTAATTTAAACCCCTTTTATCTTTACCATTGAATTATTTGTTCCAGAATATCTGTTGAAAGGATTCTAGGGTGCATAGGAATGAACTTGAAGTTTATAATTGGGAAAATCTTCTGACAAGGGAATCATCTCTTGAGTCCCTGGAGGATTCTTTCATGAGCTTTCAACTCTAATTATTACACTTTGTTAGTTATCTGTTTTTCCTTTTATTACTCCTCTTCTCAGGACTGTAGCATGTTAGGCAAAATATCTGGGTATAGAAATGTCACTCTCTCTCTACATTCAGCTGCAAACATTTTTTATGTTTGGCGATTTTAATGTTCATCACATCAAGTTGTTTCATCATTCTTATACTACTGATGTTGCCAGTATTCAGATTTTTAATTTTTTTTGTTGCACAAGATCTCTGTCAAATAGTTGACTTCCTTACTTGTTTCCCTAATAATTCTGACCAACTTGCCTCCTTACTCAATTTGTTCCTTACCTCCTCTTCTGATTCTTATGCATTGTAACTCTGTTAGCCATTTGGATCAAACTGTAGTTTCTATTGATATTTCCTTTTGACTCTTCTATTTGGCACAAATCCCCTATTTACAAAACTTCTTTCTGCTACCAGCATACTGATGTTTCTCTTTGGGTAAATATCGGTATCAAGGCTTTTATTCTCATAAATGCCAGATAAAACTAATTTTCTCCTTAGTTCACCGTGTTGAATGTATTGTTTTGGTGTAAGGAATATTTTAGTACATTTTGATCAGTGATTGTGGCTAGCTAAACTAAATGTAGGACAGTGGAAGACCAGTCTCCCCCCTTGGCCTTGTGCCAGATTTTCTGTATCTTACAAAAATAAATATTGCTCTCCTCATTGGTACCTTGACTTCATAAGTGCAGTACTGGCTTGGCAGCTAGGTCTCATAATTTCACTGTTGAACTTACTAATTGTAACTATAAGTTCTATGCTAAAAGTTTCTCCTCCCACATTTTTTGCATGTGATGCAGTGATCCCTCACTAATTCGCATTTCTACTATCATGGATTTACGACTTTGTGGATTTTTAAAATATATATATATGGAAAATATATCGTGGAGTTTCTGGAAAATTCTAGAAAAATCACTATATATGAATACCTAAAATTTTTCATTAAAATATTAATAATAAATATTATTTCCTGGTCTAAGAACAACAAAACAAGCGTAAAATAGCAATAGAAAGGGCACCGCTGCCTGAAGAGACGTAAAATACAATTATCGACTGCACAGAAGAAGTCATCATCAGCTTCATCATCATCATTTCTACTGCGCAGCAAATTGATCACCATCATCATTCAAATTCTACTTCAACTTCTTTCGTGTTGAATACAATAACAATCTTTTATTTTTATTTTTTAATCTAAAGTGTTATTGCTTAACAGTTGTCCTTGTTATTAATAGAGTACTGTAATGGGTGGGTTATTAACAGTACAGGGAGGGTTTTAAAAGTCCAAATACACGTTAAATATTGTAAATATTGCGTCCCTACTTTGTGGAAATTCAGTTATCGTGGCCGGTCTCGGAACCAATCTACCATGATAAATGAGGGATTACTGTACTCTCTTCTGGCTTCCTACTTTTGTGTCAACTACTATCTTCAAAAATTTAAATTCAATGTCTATCATCTGTCTCCTTGAATTTTGCTCCTTTATTTTCCTCTCTGTTTCTTTCACCCTCAGTAAACCCCTGCATCCTAGCAGCTTTTTTAAAATATTATAATCATGGTATATTTATTATATAAATATAAGTATGTCCTGAAAATTTTACCAGCATCTGTTAATTAATAGCAGTTTTATTGTGAAAATATTGAATTGCATCATAAAATCTGGCATCATGTATAGTATATAATATTGAATATTTTCATGTCAACACAGATGTATAAATCAATGAAAGAATTTCTTGGAAATAAGTTTATTTTGTCTGCAATGCATTTGGATCAATATGTATTAGAAATTATTTACAGTGTTAATGTATCATTTAATACAACTTAATACAAATAGCAAGACTAAAGATTAGGATGTTATTAATTCAATTCAGTAACAAAGGTGAAATGTTTTAAATATATTTGTGTGATTGAGAAAGAGATAAGATAAGCTAATCAGTTGAAAGGCTACTGTTTTATTAAATTAAAACTAAATAAAATTTAAAAACTTTACATCAACAAATTAGATATAAGTTATTTTTATTCACTTTTACTTATAAAGCTACAAAGAAACAAAGTGAAATGAAAATATTTTACTTTCTAAAGATGTAAGGAATGCTTCATTTAAAAAAAAAATTCAATATTTTTTAGCTCCAAATAACAAATAAAATTTATATACCCTAAACCAAATTAATAGCTTAGTAGTGAAATTTAGGATTTCTTGGTTTTCTTTGAATTGATTCTGATAAAACTTTTTCCAGCTGGTTTGAACAATAAGTCAACACCAGTGTTAGGTTTTTATTATTCTGTGTAATGTCCTTTGTTTTTTTGTTGTTGTTTTTTTCTCAGATTTGACAGTTTTTGTGTGAACCACGCTAGTGTTTCTCCTCTCTAAGAACAGTAGGATGTGGAAAAGGCTTCACTGATGAAGAAAAGTCTGTCATCATCAAGGAAAGTGTTAAAGGCACCTCTCTTCATGTTATTGTGGAGAAATTAGGTTATCATGGGGACACGGTTAGACAATTCCTGAAGGATCCTTTGCCAACGAAGAAACAATCCGATTGTGGGACCCCAGAGACGGTGATAGCTACGGATTTAAGAAATATTATCTGAAAGTCATGTAGGAAACCTGGACAAACAAGCAAAGCCATTTTCACAGCCACTGGACTTGTTCATGTACTGAAAATCACCAGAAATCACATCCTCAGGACAATGGCTTCTGTGCAAGCTCCCTTGAGACTGCCTTTAATGCCCCCATCAAAGGAATTTGAGGCTTCAATCGGCTTGTAAGTACATGATGTCAGACATGAATTGAGTTCTGTTCATTGACAAGACCAGAGCGACTATTGACAGACCTAACTGTTTGGCAAATGGTTGGGTCTGTTTTGGAGATGAGTCATGAACATTTAAAACATCAATATCAAGGTGGAGTCATGTAAGCTGGTATCATTGGAGACAGACTTGTTGGCCCAGTTATGATGCCTGAAGTCTTTAAAGTGATCACAGCCACCTACTACAATCTCCTAAATATGATCTTGGATCCAGGGCTAGATGACATACTGCTGCCACTTCTAAGGACTCTAGTACTCATGCATGATGATGCTCTGCCAGGGTCACCAAAGCATTTCTAGGCTTTTATGGCATACAAGGTGAAAGTTTGATGGTGTGGCTGCCTGCCTCTCTGGACCTCAACCCTAATGAAAATATTTGATCCATCATTAAACAAGATGTTTATGCTGATAAATGCCAATTTACATCAAAAGATATCTTATGGGTGTCAATCCAACCTGCTATGATAAAACTTTGACAGATTCCAAGACTAATAGGGTTTTTGAAATTATCCATCGAAATGGTGCTCATGTGGCCAAATAATTCATTATGTCAATAAATCTTGTAATATTAATAGTTTTCTGTTAAATATATATTCAAGGCATGCTTAATATGTATCAGCAACCTTCATTTTCTCCAAAAAATGTCTAGATGAATTGTTTCCATTCAAAAGCTATTAGTGTGGTTAACCCCAAAACTGACAAATCTGAAATAAAAAATAAAGGATATTACACAGAATAATGAAAACCTAACAATGAAGTTGCTATATTATTCAAACCAGTTGGGAAAAGTTTTATCAAAATCAATTCAAAGAAAACCAAGAAATCCTAAATTTCACTACCAAGCTATTAGTGTAGTTCAGGATGGACATTTATTTCACTATTTTTTGTTTTTGTTTTTAATGTCACAATAAATATTCACTTTTGAAACTTAATATTTAAAGTTTGATAAAATCTTTTTTTCCATAATTTATGTCTGTAATGAAGAGCAATGATTTACATTTTGTTTCAGAAACATATTTTTGTATTTTAAATCTTTCTCAATATATATGTATACAATCATTTCTAAAGGGTGTTCCAATAACTTGGACTGATTTTAAATGTGAATTAAGTTTAAGCGTCAACATGTTAAAGTTATCGAAGCCTATTACGAAAATGAACATTCAAACAGAAATACATTTTGTGCACTTCACAATTTTTTTGGTCAACATAATCGACCAACTGAGAGTGCAATTGGAAACTATGTAACGTTGTGGAGAGGTTCAATTCCTGTGCGCGATGACAAATAGAGGTGTCTGGTTTTTTGGCCACATTCTCGTGCACTGCAGCAATGCTTTCAGCTGAACAGCATAAACAAGCATGCAATGGTGTTTTCATATTTGCCACTGACCCAATTTGTTTGAATTTACGAACAATTTTGCCAATTGCACTCTTGAAACTTTTACATGTTGTCTGATTGTTAATCTTTCCACGTTTGAATTTGCCAAAGGCTTAAGTTGTTAAATGTGAAAGAAAAAGAAAAAAATCATTAGACACTTAAACTTAATTCACATTTAAAATCGGTCCAATTTAATGGAAAACCCTTTACTTTTAAAATTTAAATAATTATTAAATTTTCTAAGATTTTGTATCTTTATATTTTGCCTAAAAAATTTATTATCTCTTATTGTAGAGTATGCAGGTGGTGTTGAGCCACAACCCATTGAAAGATTGTGTTTTGGAGCAGTTGCAGGACTTGTAGCACAATCTGCATCTTATCCTTTGGATATCATTCGTAGAAGAATGCAAACTGCTGGTAATTTTCTTTTCTTTTGTCTTCAATATTTACTCACATTTTGGTTTTCATTTGCATTTAAACCATTTCAACTTTGATATTAACATTTAAACTATTTGTTTTTCAAAATCTTGAAACATCAAACCAAAAAAAAGTTTATTTCATGTAAAATAATTTCATGCAATAATGACCTGATAGTTTTAGAGTTGAATCATGCAATAAAACCTTCATGATAATTGAAAGAGTATGCATTCATCAATAGGCAAATTATTACTTTTATATCTATAAAACTTCTGCATGCCATGTTTAGTTGTAACTCTTTATTGTCATCATCATAGCCATAATTTTTTTTTGTTGTTGAGCCAAGACCAGGATTAATCTCACACAAAGAAAAGTGCGTAGTGCTTAACATAGGGTCTCGGTGGACCTCTTCACATGCAGGGTGTGATGGATAATTTGTCATCTAAATTCCACAAAAATGAAAATAACACTGATATCACATTTTAACAGATATATTTACCAAAATTGCACAAAAATATCTTGAAATACTAAAGAGTAAATTTATTCAATAAAATTAGCATTGGCTTCAACTACAACCTCCAGAAGTCTTCAGAATCTCTTGCAACTCTTCTGGACGGTCTCTTTGTTTAAGTTGGTGAATGCTACCATAATACTCACCTTCAGTTCATCTTTTGTGTTACAAGAAGTTTTGTTGGTCTCTCACTCAGTTGCACACCATACATATTAATAAAGGGGGTTGCAGTCTGAGAAGTTAGGTGGCCAGATGGAAGAGGTGATGTGGTTGCAGAAATTGTCTGGCAGACGTGACTGGGTTCGCCTGCTTGTATAGCATGGTGCAGAGTTCTGTTGCCAGACATACGGGGTCTTCCAGCAGCCGCTTTCTTGGCCTAGGACAGCATTAGCTTCTCGAGGCACTTGATGTAGGCCTCTATGTTGAGTCTGAGGCCCTGTGAGAAGATGAATGAGGTATAACATCAACATCACTAATCACTCCAAACACCTTCATAATCACCATTAGACTCCTCCAACTCTTTCCAAATCCTCTGAAATGTTTGTATTGGAGCTTCTGGTACAAATGCCAAGCAGTACAGCATGCCATTTCCAAATTTCTGGCAGAGTGAATTGCATCATGGTGCTCTTTTTCTCACAGACGGTGCCAAACTGGCCCTATACTACACAGTCAACAAAATAAAAAACAAAATGCATATACATGAAATTAAGAATATAAAATTGCAACAATTTACCCATCTCACCCTGTATGACGAGCATCAACTAGGCCTATCCTCCCAAGTCATTTTGGGCTGTTCTATTCCTCTGCTGCACTCAACTGTCACCTCTTAGATCAGTTTGATAGGTCCGCTCCTCACTGCACTCAACATAGCCAGCCCAGCATAATCTACAGCAGCACAGCAGTGACTCAAGGTTATGAAGGCCTAGCTTCTTGACGATTGGGTCTGATTTGACCTAATCCTCAGTGGACCTGCTACACATCCACCATATCTTGACCCTGTCATTCTGCCACAGGCATTTGAAGTTCACCATCAGCAGGGCACATGTTTTGCTTGTGTACAGCATGGTGCTGTTAATGCAGGTGTTGTGCACACAAACTCTGGTCTTGGCTGAGAAGCAGCAAGCTATGAGGATTGACAGTAGCCAGTGAAATTTCTTCTATAAAACCTGGTAAAGTGTGATGGTGTCCAGCCGATGTCTGCCACCTGTGGACACCTAGTTTGCACAAAGAGGCAACCACATCTAAGGTCACTCTACCAATAACCACCTCGTTTAGTGAGCAGCCATCAATTGGTTGCACACCCCCTCTGCAATACTTACATTTGAAGTAGAGATCAGGCACAAGTTAACTGGAGAAAAGTATAGAATGTAAAAGAATGTGCCAGTATATTTAATAAGTCATCATTAAGAACCTTACAGAGTATTAATTTCACTTTATCATTTTAGTTTTGTTAAAATTAACATGGAATAATTTATAGCCCAATACAAAAACAATGCACCTTTCTTTTAGAAATTTATAACATGCAACCTTGAATCATATTTGTAAATTCTCATATATTTTTTTTCTATTTCTTTCCTCAGGTGTTACTGGCCATACTAAAGACTATACTTCTATTTGGAAAACGGCTCAAAATGTGATACAAGAAGAGGGTTTCCGGCGTGGAATGTTTAAAGGTCTAAGTATGAATTGGATTAAGGGACCAATTGCAGTTGGCATTAGTTTTACTACATTTGACATTTGCCAAAATTGGCTGCGGAGAATGGCCATGTTTCACGACGGTTGAATAAAATTTTAATCTTTGATCTCCTGGCAGCAGGTCATTTTCTCAAAGTTCTGAACCAGTTCTGTACTTTTAGTGTGTTTGGAGAAAAATTAAAATACAATTAAGATAAGCAAAGTTTGAAAGACAAAAGAGAAATTTGTGAATTAAAAAAAATTACATATGAAAAGCCCTTGTAATGTGACAATGACAAAGACCTGATTTTGTGGATGCTGAGAGTGTCTGTGACTGCAAAATGATTGAAAGAGTGAATGTTTATTGTTTAAAGAAGATATTTAAATAGGCATTAAAAGAAGAGCAAAAGAAAGAAATTGTGCTTAAAATTTGCAACTAGCAGCAGCAGCAAAAAGATCAAGAAACAATAAAACTTACAGCGTGCACCAGCCATTTTATACCTGTTATGTAATTTAAAATGTATAATTTTGCAAAAAATATTTATTTCACTCAATGATTTATGATCATTACAAGATTGGGAGCTTTCAATCATTATGGGGAGTTTGTTAAACTTTTACTCTGAATTCATGCTTTTTTGTTTGATCTTTACAATATTGTAGTTAGCATTTGTTGGAACATCTTTATACTTCATAGTGCATAGGTCTTATTTATGAAGGATGAAAGTAGAGAGGATTTTATTTTTTATAATTAAAAAAAACTAAACAAAGATAACTGTAATATAAATGTGCAAACTTTTTAAAAATGATTATAGTTTATATTTTTTATAAATTATAAACAAAGTTCATTTAACTATACAAGTCTACATTTGAATAGCAAACAATTGAAAAGAATCTGTTTTTAAATAAATTGAAAGGTATAAAAAGACTAAACCAAAGAGAGAAAAAAATCAGGAATTTTATAAGCAACTTAATTTTTTTTCAAACTGTATAATATTTAAAGCAAATATTTACAACAAAGAAAATTCCCCTTCTCTTTTTTCCTTTATCATTTTCTTTCTATACTAGCCAAGTTCCCCTTTTTTGTTGATCTTTTTATTCTATGACAAAAAATGGCTGTGTATTTGGAAAAATCTTGTGCTTTGTCCAATTGGAATTTCACCCACACAACACATTTCTTTCCACTTCTGATTAAAATGAAATCTAATGTTAATTGATAAAGCAAATTTTCATCCCTAAAATTTGTGTTGTTTTCTTTAGAAACTTTGTTATAATCTTTTCTTTTTCATCTTATTTTCCTTTTTTCCTCTTAAGTTCAGGCCCAATTATTAGGCATCAAAATAATTTAACAGAGTGCATGTTATTTATTTTATGAGATTGTACATTATTCATTTTAAAGTTTGTTTCTATCTTCTATGTTTCTGCTGATCACTTGTTGATACATGACATATATCCAACTTCCTCTTAGTCCACTAATTCATAAATGAAAACATGGATGCTCTCATTATATGTATTTCAACATGAAATGATGCTTGTTATATCATAACTAATATAAGCATCAAAGGTTCTTAAAACTTATTCATATTTTATCAATCAAATTTTGACTTAAAACAAAAATCAAAATTTTTCTCAAAATTACTTAGTTAAATTTCTAGATTGTGTATATTTTATAAGAAACTTTGTCTTTATATCATGACTTGGTTACAATAGAAAAACTTTTAACATCGCTCCCTTATTTTTTATTTTTAAATTATTGTCCACCCAATACAAGGCCCAGGAGTCAATGAGGGTAGAGGGCTACTGAATGAGGTTGTTTTATGAACAAGAGGAAGACATAAAAAGTGAAGATTATGAGGTGTTGTGGAGTAAAGAAGACACATTCGGTAACACAAATGAACTAGGCAAGATGCTTTAAATAAAGAACGCAAAGTGTGTCCATTGGAATCAGTAGGGGAAAATTTCTAAGGACATCACAGTAAGTGCCTAAGCAAGACATAATATTATAACCACTAGGAGTGAGTTATAACAGTGGTGACAAGGGATCAAAACTCTTATGAAGTAGGGAAAAATGCTTTTTGCTTTGGCATACATGATAATGGAGACAAGAAATTAGAACCATGTTGGTTTAAATTTTTTTTTCTTTGGTGTGTGTAAGAAAAAAAGAAACAGATATTTTTTAATTATAGATTATTAGCCCAAGTGGCAAAAATACAGGAACAGCAGTTGTTGGATCTCCAGAAACAACAAAATTTAATTGAAATTATACAGAAGAAAATAGAAAAAGTTCTTTCACTCCTGTTGCAGTGGCAAATACCATATCTGAATTTACATACAATTCAGATAATGGAATTACTTTTCTACTTATTTTAAAAGATACAAGCAAATTTTCAGAGATAAATGAAGCAACTGGGAAGACAACAAAAAACAAGACTTTTGTTGAGAATGTTAGCATCAGTAGAACCTGAAAAATACTGTAATTTTGTACTACCAAAATAACCAAGAGAAATTTGCTTTGAAGAAACAGTAAATATTCTGACTAAAAAATTTTAGCAATAAAAGTTTGTTATTCAATATTCATTGGAAATGTATGAATCAGATGAAAAAAGAAGACAAAGATTTTATTACATGTGCTGGAATGATTAACAAGGAGTGTGAAAGATTCAAATTAAATGAACTGACTCCAGATATGGCTAAAGGGTTAATTTTCGTTCAAGGGTTAACAGCAAAAAAAGTCACAGAAATCCATGCTAAAATTCTAACAAAACTTGAACAAAAACTAACAATTATCAGATGAATGTCAGAGAATCCTAAATCTGAGACACAATACTGAAGAAAAAGAATGTGCATACATACAAGCTAAAGAAATATGTAGAAAAAGACAAATTGATCTATGTTTCAGATGTGGAAGTTTACATCTTGAAGACGACTGTCCCTTTAAGAATTCAAAGTGCTACGAGTGTGGAAAAGTAGGGCATAAAAAGTCACACTAAAACTGAAGCAAGGAAAAGTTTTCGCAGAAAAGATTTCGTACACAGTGTTGCAATGGAAAAAGTAATTACAAAAACCAAAGAAAATTAACGTGGATATAAAAAATGCAACAAGATATTGGTAGTGTTATCATAATCAACAAAGCCACATGGGAAGCAGATGGAAAACCTATATTTAAAAACTTCGAAAATCGCATGTGACGTGTTGGGCAAGAAATTATTTTTTATTGGTAAAATGACTTGTAACATTACATTTCATAACAAATGTGTAAAAGCTAAGGCTTATGTGTTAAAAATACTGCAAACTTATTTGGTACTGACTGGATGGAATTATGTGGGATTTACTTATAAATATTTATTGCAAAAATGTAAGTGGACAAGCTACAAGTTTTAAAAGTGTTAACATTTAAAGAAGGAATTGAAAAAATGTTTTCCAGATGTTCTGTTGAATGAGTTGGGTCGATGTTCCAAAGTCAAAGCGAAATTTCAAATGAAAAAAAGAGTCGTGTTAAACTGAAACATGGTGTACCGTTCGCAGCATTGGGTTGAGTCAACGAAGAATTAGACAGACTTGAAAAAAATAGGTGTAATTGAAAAGATTGGCTATTCAAAATGGGAAGCACCAGCAGAGTATGTAAAGAAAAAATAAAATCCGTGTTTGTGCTGAGTTTTCAACAGGGTTAAACAAATGTTTAGAATCCCATAACTACTCATTACTAGTTTTCGCGAATTTAAACGGAAAAAATTTTTCAAAGCTGTATTTTTCTGAAGCATATTTGCAACTACAAGTTGAAGAAAATTGTTCAGCATTCATAACTATAAACATGCTCAAGGGATTGCACAGGTTCAACCGACTTCCTTTTTGGATAATAGTGGCTTCAGCTATATTTCAACAAGCTATGGATACTATGCTTGCATGTTGTGATTTCGCAGTTGCTTATCTGGATAATATATTAAGTGTTTCTCTAGAACAGCATATTTTTTACCTAAAATCAAGTACCTAGGACAAAAATGGCTATCAACCAGATCCATCAAGGGCAAGTGCAATATATGCCTTCTCCAACAAACATTACGAGGTTACAAGCATTTCTGGGACAAGCAAACTATTATCAAATCTATATGCCTAATATGCAGAATTTGAGTGCTACACTAAACAATTTGCTTAGAAAAGGCGTAACGTGGAACTGGACTGATAAATGTCAGAAAGCGTTTGAAATCAAGAAAATATTAACATCAAACTTATCATTAGCACACTATGATACCAAAGCAGAAATCATATTGGCTTCAGATGCTTGTAACTATGGTGTAGTAGCAGTAATTCTACGTAAATATGATGATGGGAATATGAAAGCTGTTGCACATGCTTCGCATTTGCTACTACCAGCAGAAAAAAATAGCCACACCGAAAAAGAGGCGTTAGCAATAATATTTGCAGTGAAAAAATTTCACAAATCTATACACCAACCTCTATTATCAATTTGTGGCTCAAAAAAGGAATTCCTGTGCATACAGTGAATAGATTACAATGCTTTGGTACCATTACGACTTCAGGATGGAATACCAACTGCCCCATGCTGATTATTTATCAAGATTGATACCAAAAAATACTGAACTGTTTGAGGAGACTGTTATTGCATCATTAAAAAGTGAAATAAAAAATTAAAAATATATTATGCAACGTAGTATACAAACTACCAGCATGGTGTAATGGTTAGCAAGCTTGACTTGCTAGTCAGTTACTACTGAAAAGTGAGTTCGATCCTCACTGGATGACCCATGCTTTCGGCCTTGTGCCACATCTAAGCTACGCTTGGAAAATGTCTACCCTGGAAGAAATAAAAGTAAAAACATATTTATTTCAAAAATAAAAAATGACTAAAAGAAAGACTATTTTTAGAACGCAATCCAGACTTGAACACTTACTGACAGTGTACTGATATTTGCACAAAGTGAAGTAATACCTATCATATTACAAAAGCGGATATTAAATGAGTTTCTTAGTGGACATCAGGAATTTCAAGGATGAAATCTCTTATGAGAAGCTATGTATACTGGACCAAAATGGATTAAAACATTGACAAATTAGGAAAAACCTGTAGAGGTTGTTCTCCGGCAGCAAAATCATCTACCTCAAAATTACAACCTTGGCCAAAGACAGTTATTCCATGATCAAGACTGAACATAGATTTCGTAGGTCCAATAAACAGATCACATTATCTTGTGGTAGTGGACTGAAATTTGTAAGTGCAAAAAAAAAAAAAAAACAAGTTTCATGATTACAGTGGATTTTTTACACCGTTTGCAAGATGTGGCATTCCGGATGCCAGTGTCTCCTGTAACAGTACACAATTCACTGCTTACAAATTTAAAGAATTTTCTAAAATGTTCTTGATTGAACATATTAATACCTTGCTGTAACACCCTAGATCAAACGAACAAGCTGAAGGGTTTGTTGGTACTTAAGAGAGCTTTCAAAAAAGCAAGTAATGAAAAAGTGAGCAAAGAAGCACTACAAAAATTCTTGAGAGTATACTGGATAACACCGAATCCTAATACACCGATGTTCACAAGAAAAAATAAATCTGTGCTCGACAAGTTGTTTCAGCTCAACAAAGAGTAAGAATGAACAACAAAATGGACATAAATTTTTCAAAACTGGCGAAAAAGTATTTTTTTGGAGTATATAAAAATGGAAAAGAAATATGAGAAGATGGCGTAATAAGGTCACGAATTGGAAAAGATATATATGGTAAAAGGACAAAAATGGGAACACAAATAGCATTGGAATCAGTTAAAGAAAAGGTTTACTGAAGAAAGGCCTACAAAAAAAAAGGAAGAACCTATGCAAGTACTGTATGATATTTTTGACGTACCACCACCCCAAGAACTTGTTGAATGTACAAGTATGATTACTAGAAAATGGAAACGTATGGAAAAACGAGATTGACCGAAAATGAAAGAAATACAAAGTTGAGTATGTGGCGAACTCGTCAGAAAGAGGCGGGGTGAATACTAAGAAATAATATATTTACCAGTGGGGAAAAATAAAACGTAGGGATGTTGTGGAGTAAATAAGACACT